GATATGAGTTTTGTCCACCATTTTTGCTTTGGCATTCTTCTTAACTCACTAAGCTACTGCTACAGTGAAGTCTGAATGGGCTTTTTAAAAAGCCAGAATAAGGTCATGTATAACAGTGCTTCTGAGCGTGAGGGTCCTCAAGGGGCTGATCAATTTTGAGAGGTCACAAGATGATTTTCCTGCCAAAAGAGGATCCCTAAAATAATTTGAATAACATAGTAAAAAGCTATCCCTCTTTGGTGGACCTGCTGTTAACCCAGCAACACTACAAAGCAGCAATGATGGGCCAGAAATAGACATTTTTTTTGCTTTACAGGGTCACAAGTCAAAAAGGTTGGGAGCTATTGATCTAAAATACTATATTTTGCTAAAAAGGCCAAAGCTGCATACCTAAGAGCTCTTCCATTTCAAGTAAGCAAGGTTAAATTTGACATTTTCCTCAATTTTCTCTTTCAAACACAATGAGTTAACTTCTATTTTTAACCTGCCTGACACGCTTCTCCTGAGTCACCTCCACTGAACGCCCTGTTAGTGATGACCTCATGTGTGACGTGGTGCCACTTCAAAAACCCAGCTTTCTGATCTATTGTTTCTTTTTGGAGAAGTGGTTACTGGATTTTAAATTGAAATTCCAATGTGTATTTAGCATAGGTTGCATTTCAGGATGTGCAGCACGTCCGACCCTGTGTTTGTTGAGTCAATGGCTTTACAAATATGTGTCGTTCTACTTGTCATGCCTTTGATGGTATCTCATTTGGTAATGCTCCACCACGTGTCTAAAATCTATTATGTCGTGAATGCTGAACTGAAGCAGCCCTATAAAAACATATATATTGCAAATCAAATTGCAATTGTATTACATTGTCATAAAAATACATGCATTCATACAGACTGCAAACAACAGCATCCCTCTGCTCAGTCTTTCCTGTTCACCTACAGCCCACCTGTGACGTCTCATCCTATTGCATTGCAGGTGACCGTATGCTCCAAGGGCAAACGTGAGTGCAGCTATATGACCAGTAAACACAGGCAGCACAACGTAAGTTAGAACTACAGTTGTTCTCCACGTTATTGACAGCGAACGTCACCGATGTGAGTCCATTTCACAACACTGCAGCAGCTGATTTACCACCGACGTTCGACCACCCCTGGACTTGACCTCTACCTGTACACTCTTTCTTTGACATAGACCTATACATCCCATCACCCGACAGTAATTCATATCTGTCCTCCAGGCATGCCCAGAGGGAAGGCATACCCTACCCCCACCCGCATCTGTGCTCTATTGATCGGGCCGGGCAGGCCTCCGTGAAGCGCTCACTTCATTGATCATCGCTGCCTCATAGATCCTCCTGCAGTCCTCTTTAACTGACCCTCCGAGACCCGGGGAAATACTGCTGCCTACGTTGCGGTGGCATCACAAATCGCCTTTTCCATGAACACTAATTAGTCTTAATGAAAGGTTTATCATCAGGATGGCTGAACTGGACACAAAATCAAATGCGAGTTAGTGACGCGCAGAGCTAAAGGCACGTCTAATTTTATAAATTCCACATCCTGAAATGTTACATTATGTTGCTAGGAGCAGTACGCTGGAGACGGGTTTTTTTTTTTTTTTTTAAAGCACCAAAAATAGCCAAAGCTTAGCCTAAAACCTCACCACATGTAGGATATCAAAGAGAAAAGTAGATCATATAGGCATGAGCCTGCAGGGGCTTTGACATGAAGTGACGCCCGTATTATAAACCAAGTCAATAGCAGATTATGGTAATGTGATCTAACTGAGGGGGAACAGTGACTAATATTCTCCACGTACACACAGCAATCCCTGGCAGTTATTTTTAACCACTGGAAACATGTAAAAGAAGCCAGTCCAGCAAGCACTTCCACTGAACACGCAGGCACGTATAGAAAAAGAGCCATAATCCATCGTGATGATTGCTAATTCCACCATGTTTTTCCCTTTGGTCCTTATCTCGCCTCATTGTTTCCTCTTCCACCTTTGCCCTACTTCACCCAACCTCCCCTCTCCCCCCTCTGCTAGCCACCCAGGGCCCGGTTCTCCAACTCTTTTAGGCAGGTGCCAGCGAGTGTGTGTGAGTGCACGTGTGTGTGTGTGTGTGTGTGTGTGGTGGGAGGACTTGCTTCTGGAGGAAGCGGCTAGTCATAAGAACCAGCTGATGAGTATCACCCTCATCCGGAGCTCCATTCATCCCAGTGCACAAGGGCCCATTCACCCTGCTGCTTTTCACACTCGTGGACCCCAAGAGCCCCGGGCACATTCCCACACTTACAGAGGTGAACTGTCACTCACTCAAGATATCCTTCACACACGCCAGAATGTGGGCATCCAGATGCAGACACACACACACAGAGTATGGGTCTCGGGGTATGGTGTTTTTTTTTTTGTTTTTTTCTTCTCCCCCCTCCAATCTGACTCATTATAAACAAGCCCCGGAGCTCTTTTTATTTCCTCTGCAAAACACTTCAGTATAGCCTCCACATCCAAATACTCTTTTAGAAGAAGTGACACACAGCAGGAAGAGGCGTCATTTTCATTTCTGTCATCTCCCCTCCGCTGTGAATCTTTGTGACACGCTTGTACCACAGCCCACCATCATACCCATGGACGACGGCGATGTGCATGACATGCGATAAAAAAATATAAATGTAAAAAAAAAAAGATGTCAAATTTGTGCCTGGATAGAAAGAGCACACCAAGAGAGAATGTGTACATCCTTTAGAGCTGAGAGTGACAACATCTAGTTTAGCTCTCGTAAAAATCTGAACCCCAATCAGCTCCGAGCAGCTTCCTGGAAACTTTCAGATCAGGATGTTTGTGCTGTTGATTCCGATGTTTGTGGAAATGTTAAATATTCATCTAGAAAGCAGCAAATCTATACTTTTAATTGCTTTTGGAGGCAATTCTAATTAACTGTGTGCAAAGACAGAAAAAAAAGAAGCAGCTGACAGAAAGTATGCCATGCTGCACATTAGTTATTTAAATTGTTCTTAAACAGTCTAGTGTCGCTGCTGTCTCTCCCCTGGCTGCATGCTGTGACAAAGACATTAATGCACCCTCCCCGCTACCAACAACACTATCCGCCTCCCTGCTGCTTTAGGCTCCATGTTTGATCCGCTGCAAAACGTGCACCAGCAGCCTGGCCCTCATATTGGCGTCACACTCCCTTCTGAGCAGAGGACAGTCTCTAATAATGAGGGCATCTTGGGTGTGTTTACATTTCATTACACAGCTCTGCCTGGCGCTCCGGCCTGAACGACTGGGGGGGCTCGGTGGGTGATGTTTGAGGTGCCGGCGGGGAACTTTGGAATATTTTTCCACAGCTCACGAGGGATTTTTCGAAGACATCTCCGGATTGAACTACGTGTTGTCTCCTGGACCAGTGGCAGCGTTACGCTAAATAATATATCTGCACTATATCCAGACAGACAAGGGTAACTATCCTTTTAGTGCTGCTTCAACATTCAGCAGCAGCCAACGCTGGCTGTCTACAAATCTACACGAGTGCATTATTTCCAATCCGATTCCAAGCTCATAACTGAATCGCATAAGAACTGCTTACAACCACATTACGTTAAAACTCACGCCATTGTGTTTTGTGTCCCCCTCACCCCAGCTCCATCCCTCCCCCTCCTTTTATTTATGTCACTGCACACCAGTGGAAATGGATAAAGATCAGTTTTAGAATTCCAGGGAGGTTTCAAAGTGGGAATGCAACAACTGATGTCTGCAAGTAGTAATCAAATGTCTGTCACTGAGGCACCTGGCAGAGAGAGAGACAGACAGACAGAGAGAGAGAGAGAGACTCAGCTGTCAAAGGGTATCTCCTGGAAGTGTGCGACTTCGCCGTGGTGAGTGTGAGTGAGCCACGGGCGAATTCAGAGGAGTGGAGGGTTGGAATGAGAAGAAGAAGAAGAAAAAAAAATCACGACTGAAAAGCCTCAAGGGCGACAAAATCTTGTCAGAATACAAAAGAGGGATAAGTGCAGGGTTAACAAAGAAGAAACAATTTGGGCTGACATTTCTTTTATGAAGCCCAGACATGGAGCTATTGTTTGGCTGGCATAATGACACACATTATCACCCACAGGAGAATGGCACCCCCACTGCTTGGACCAGAGACTCACAATCATGACTTTTAAACTTCCTTGTTGCCTATAAATCTCGCATGCCAGTGCCATTACCTTCAAATCCTTTTCATGAATTAATTGAACGTGCCCTCAGGTCTATCTGTGCATTCATATTAATACAATTAGAAAAAGATCAGCCTCAAGTCCTGAAAGTTGAAACAATTATTTTTGCATGTGTGCGCGCGTCTTTGTTCAGGTTTTTTTTTTTTTTTTTTTTTTTTAAGGGTGGGAGTGTTTAATAGTTCTGCCAGGAGAAGATAATCGGATTGTGATCCGTGGCTAATTAGAAATGCATTTAGAGTCGTTTTTCCCCTCTTTGTTCGCATCGTCTGAGAGCTCCGGTCTGCGCTCTGGCTCTTTGTTTTCCACCTCGGCGTAAAAGCAGGAAGAGGCGCACTGGGATCAGGCGTTTTATTTATTTATTTATTTATTTTTTTTCCAAATCCATATAGCTGTAAAACCTGATGTTATATGACTGTAGGATTTTTTTTTTTATTCTGCCGCTGCTGTTGCTGATGCTGCTGCAGAGGTTGGCTTTAAATCCCCGTGGCTTCCCCGGAGCGCAAATCATGCAGCAATCATGCAGAGGAAAATAAGTCCTTTCGCGGTCCCACGCAACAGTTAATAAGATAACCTACCAACACGCGTTTTGCACAAGGCCCTATAATATGTGCGATTTTTCAGCCTACACTACCGTTTTTTCTTCCTCTCCCTCCTCTTCCCTATGGAGTTCAAGCGCTCTTTGCAAAGTCGATCAACAGATTGAGTGGAAGTGGAGCAGGTTGGGCACACAGAATGAGGCACATAGCAGAGAAATGCAACGCGTTTTCCAGCCAGATTATACTCACAGGCATATGTCATGGAGAAGCTATTCCCCATTTTGACCATATCCACCTGCGGCACCAGTTTGGGGATGTCCTGGTGGTGAGACAGGGCGAACCGAAAAACCTCATATTCGTGCGATTCGGTTGGGAACAATCCTCCTGTTGAGCAGCAGAAGAATCAGGAGTTAATGTTGGACCCACAGACAGAACACAGAGGTTTAAAAAAAAATAATACAAAAAGACACACTAAAGATCTAAAGTTGAATCAGAGATGTAGATATATATTTTTTGCGCGGAGACAAAAGGTCCGCTGGGTGTGCGCCATTCTCACCTATATTGATGTTACTTGGAAAACTTGAGCTTGAACCCAAGCACATCCCCAGTAAACTGGTGTAGAGGATGGTGAAGCTTCGCTGCATATTTCCTTTTGCATTGGCGAAGGGAAAAAGAGCCGAAATCCACGCATAGGTTTTGTCCGTGTGTGAAGTTAAATCCCCCGCTTCCTCTTTCCAGCTCCTATCGCCTCCCGTTAGAGCAGCATTTGCACCGACATCGATTCAGCGCCGAGACAATTATCGCAATGGCGAGAGAGGAGGCACCTTTCTCTCTCTTCTTTTTTTTTTTTTTCTCTCCCCCCTCTCTCTCTGCTGATGCTCTCTTGTCCTTGGTTGCTGCTGTATCAAACGGAGAATGACTTCAGCATTAGACGCACTGCAAAAAATATCTTGGATCCGAAAAAGCTTAATCACAATTTGAAATTACACCATCTCTCCAAAATTAAAAATAAAAATAAAAAATTCCCTTTGCAATGCGGCGAGATGACTCCACTTGTTATTTAAAAAAGAAAATTTGGGTTCTTTACACAAGTGTCAGTGCAACAAGGCAGACAAGAGCGCAGTACTCCAAATGGAAAAGACATCGACAAATGACCAACATTCCTCCGAGAGGCTGATTGGTGCAAGAAACGAGTGACAGCACCTCATCCTACAGGAGGATTTCACCTCCGAGAGGGAAAATTGACATTTTCACACTCATTAGCCTACTTGACTAACGACCTGGGAGATGGATATTTTTTGCAGTGTGCACCCTCAGAGCGCACGCACTGGTTCCCAAAGAGGCGCACGGGATCTCATAGCCATCCTTTGATTTCACTGCACTGCAAAAAATATCCACATGGAATGAACTGCACATTTGTAATGTCGCCTGTCATTTTGAAATAAATCAGTTTTGGGTTTTTTTGCACTTGCTGTTGCGCATTTACAAAAAGAAAATCCCCTCTGTGCGCAAAATGATTTCAGGGATATAAGCAGCACGTGAATGTGGAGTTTTGTGGGTCAGGAAATATACTGTGGAGCTGTTATTCAACATTTTTTTCCCACTTAGTTTAAAATTATGTAATTATTTAATGGTTTATAGGGGGAATGAAATGGTATTTTATTAAAATAGTTGTGTTTAAGTTGGTGTGGAGAACCAAAATACGACTAGAGGGCAGGAGTTCAGGTGTTAAGCTGCAAAGTCACTGGCATCCAGTTCAGATGTAAATGACCATCTTTCACCATATAATCACTCAAGGAAACTTTTCAGATGAACCAAACGTGGCCATTAGTCTTTAAAGTGCTCCTAAAAGGTGAACATTTTAACATCTGCTGCTCTATGACAACACGGCAAACTCCAAATGCCAATGAAGAATATGTGGCATGGCAAAAACAAAAGTTTCACAACAGTTGAATGGACACTGTTAAGGTTGCTTCCTCAACTTCCGAGGTCATCGTTCCCACACCCAACAGCATGACACAAATGGTTTTAGTTTGTGGTTTATATTCAGTAAAAACATGTAAGAAACCAACAGTGCTGCTCAGTTTTCAATAGGACTGGATTCATTTGGCAAATCAGACATTAAGTTTCGCTTATAGTTCGCTCTTTCCTTAACAGTTAAAGGATTTGGAAGTGCAATATCATGAAGAATTCAATACTATTTTGCCACAGAAATGAGTCAGTTCATACCATTTCAGAGAGTATTCTGGGAATATGTTGCTGCAACGTGTTCAGTTTTACATATTTGTATTTGGAACCAAAAACTAAGTGCTTACATTTCTGATATTTGGGCAAAATTTTGAGAACCTCATATGTATTCAGACATGGGGAATTTTTGGATTTTCACCCTTAAAAAAGCCATTGTACTTAGAAAGCCAATATCTCCAGAAATGCAGCTCCCAGAGCTATGAAATTTGGTGAGAACACATAAAGTTGTTTCCAGCAGATCTAAATGATCAAACGGCTCCAGCAGAAGCCAATTTTTTTGAAATATTGGCTCCTGAAAATGGTGGAGAAAAAAAAAAAAGTACAACATTTTCAAGTATGGTAAGTCAATACTTGCCAGGTCTTCCAGTGTATGAAAACATGTTAGTTTCTTCACATTCTGGCAAAAGTATTTTACAGAGCTTTGTTACTTGGAACCAAAAACTAATAATCAGTAAACTCTGAAGTAAATCTAAGATGATGGAGCAACACCACTCTCTGACACAGACAGATCTAAATGAGGAAACCTCTGGGGGTGACAGACATGAAACCAACATGGAGCTGCCAAAAACTGCAGTTCCTTGAATGGCCACTTTAAGAGTGTCTCCAAAATCGAGTAAATCCCAACAGAAATGTCCAACTTTACAACAGAAATAAACATGTTTACTGCCTGGTACATGAAGCAGTTTTGATCTCTGTGGATAATTCCTCTGTTCATTACAACTGTACAGGGGGCAAAGTTTTATGTAACTCATCCGTTTAAGCTGTATTAAGGCTTAAAATTGTGCATAACTAAGCATATGATCATTTCAGACAACATTGTGGTGCTGTAGGACAGTTCATGGGCTGTCTTGGCTCCACACACAATCAATGTCTTTGCCCATTTGTGGATTATTTAGTTAGGCAGAGTGTGGTCTGACTCACTGAATGTAGTCTGTCATTGGCCCAATCAGGTCAGCTGGTTTGCTTCTCCCCTTCTGCGATCTGTGAGTGACCATTTTCAAAATCCACAACGCTATCCATCCTTCCATCCATCGCTTAATCCTCACTAGGGTAGCAGGGGGGCTGGAGCCTATCCCAGCTTACACAGGGTGAAGGCAGGGGACACCCTGGACAGGTCACCAGTCTATCACAGGACTACACTTAGAGACAGACAACCAATTTAGAGTCACCAATTAACCTCAACATGTTTTTGGACTGTGTGGTAGGAAGCTGGAGAACCCGGAGAGAACATACAAACTCCACACAGAAAGATCCCGGTGCTCCCACTGGGACGCAAACCGGCGACCTTCTTGCTGTGAGGCAACAGTGCTACCAACCTTGCAGCCCTCCACTACACTACAGGAAACAAAAACCTCTTGGTTAGGAACCTTGGGTAGGAAGTTTTACCAAGGATTTGGTTGGCACAGTGACTTTCCAGTGGATTGGATTATCTGTTTTAATGACAGAGCTTGTCTCTCAGTGTGCAAATGTTTGACCCAAACTATTCCACAATGTTTAAGGGGAACACTGAAGCTGTATTTTTTGCTTAGCTTTTCCCAAGTTGGTTGCAAATGGTTTAAAGAAATACAAACAAGCCAGAGTGCTTTTTTTGCCCATATAGTAGAAGTTATACTGAGATGCCAGACTTGATGGAGACAATCGGACATTTAACTTTAAAACTGCTGGGTGACGTCACACCCATCTTTAAATGAATTGTCGATACAGTTACCATGCATACTTTAAAATGCAACAGTCATTCTGGGTATATAATCAATATTACATGAACACATTTCAATTTTTCAGCTTCATCTTCATGAGCTTGGCATTGATTGACATGCTACTGTAAAACATTATTATACAATATGTAAAAAAAAATGTTATATAAGTCTTGTCACTTTAGATGTCAGAGGCCAAATCAAGTTTTTCTTTCCTTGGTTTATATAGGATTGTATGAAGAAAGAAAAAGAAGAAGAAGACGAAATAGAAATTACTGCACTTTGCTTGCCACCTGAGAAATCTTTTCTCAATTGCTGGAAGCTACACTAACACATCGGATTGCAAGTACAATTTTCAGCTTTGAAAGTTTCACACGAGAGACAACACGCTCTGAAGACGGGCTTCATGCTGTCTTATTTAAACAAGCTTGATTCAATATGAATTTTTGGGGGGGAATTCTAAATGAGAAAGAGGACTTGTGCTCTGTGTGCCTCTCACACAGTGCAGGACTGACAAGCAGCTGATAAGGGAGGGGTTATGATTTAAACCATGTATTTACAGACAGCTACAGCCAATTATTTCCTGGAGAAGAAGTACATGCCCCCATGCTTTTTTGTACACAGCGCTGAATTAACCAACGCCGGTGATATTCGCATGAGATTGATTGCAAACCGCGCTATGCTGAGATGCCCCGGTGCTTGTTTAGAAAATGAAGTGGTAAATCTTGCTTTTGACACAATTAGGATTAGGTATGAGCTCATTTATCACACCGGGTGAGAGTATTTTCTTAAGTTAAAATCGCTGCTTTCCCTACTTATTGTTTCCAAAATACCAAGGCAGGCACGAACGCATTTCTGCCAGATAATGAAATTTACAAGATTACACTGAATTAGATTTCTAGTGTTTTTCCAATTCAGCAGGAACATTTCTTATACATATACAGGCCTATATATGAAATCCAACTTGCTATACTTTACACGTATGAGACACAGAAATGCAAGGAGCAATAGGTTATCTAATTTATGAATGATGGATGTCCTATAAATACAGGCAGAATGGTCAATTTCCCTCACCTTTGTTCAAAATGATGAGGGCTTACCAGGCTTCCATTATTTCATTTTTCCCCCCTCTCACATGTTTTGACTTTTTATTCTCCGTGTGCAAGAAGACATTTGATTCGTGCATATTTTCTACTTCGGTGTTTCTGTGTGCTTTGTGTCTATGCGTTTGCCCCATGTGTAATGAGTGCCACGCAGTCTTTTTAAAAATCCTGATGAATGCAAGCAGATCTTAGAATAGCATTAGTAATGATGGGTAAATATTCTACGGCGCTAAGTAGAGGAATAACAACCACAGATGCAATTGCTCGTTGGTATTATGCTGTTATGGTTAAAAATAGTCTGTCATCGTCATCAGACAGACTCTATGTAACAGAAAGAAGGAAATACACTGTCGTTTTTTTTTGTTCCTAAAGATGTCTCCGTCATAGATCATAATGTGAGTGTCTGTCTGGGGGTTTTTTAATAGAAGTCTATGTGAAGAGTATAATGAGGTTAATCCGTCAAAATCTGCGGGTTCCACTCCAGTTTGAGTGTGGAGGGGTGGGGGGAAAAAAAGAAAAAGAAAAACTTCCGTGTATGTTATTCCTATAATTGAGCCACCGTACTTGTGCTGTCAAGGACTTGCGTGCGTCACAGTGCTGAAGGCAAAACTATAAAAAAAAGTATAGTTGCAAAAGTGATAAAAGAACAAAATATGTCAAACAGGCAGAGGACTTGATGTGACT